AGATGCTCACTGGACGTGTGACCACGGGGCAAGACAGCCTGCCTTTCTCTTTCTCCATTTCCTGTTATAAAGGAGGAGACCAACTGCTGTCCAAGTTCTCTCCCAGTTAAAGCCCCATGAGGTCTGGATAACAGGAATGGAGAGTGCAGGCCCAGGACCCAGTGAGGGGGGACTTTCCTGCCACTGTCGAGGAGGGACTCAGCTGTTCCACCTGCTCTCAGCTGTGAGGAGATTCGCCCCATACCAAGTGGCCTTCCCTGCCCTTTCCCAGAGCTCCGAGAAGGCTTCTGGCCTGGCCTGATGCCCTCCGCAGCAGGCACAGGCACCGCCAAACTCTTCCCCACCTCCCGTTTCCCTGTGGGGCTGGTGAGAGCAGGCTTGTCTTTGCTAGCCCCATACAACACAGCTTTGGGGATCTGGTTTTTGCTGGAGCCTGACCAAACACCAGGGTGAGGAAGCATCCTTCCTGCCTCTGGCAGTGACCGCAGTACAGAATGAGGGACGGCCAGAGGTGCGTTCCCTCACTTAAAAGTTGCAGGGTTGCGTTTACCTTGAGGTTACTTGCTTTTTCATCTTCGCTCGGTGAGCGTAAATCTGTTTTGGAAGAAAACGTGGTTATCTACCACAATGACCACTGTCTCTAGATCTTTATTGGTTTTAAGTCTTATCTACCCAATGCAGGAACTTCTTTGAAGACAGAAGTTCCATCCTGTTTGACTATTCTACAGCACAATAGTCCTTTCGCTTCTGAGGGGCACTGGCTCCAGGACACCCACACCCCAGACCAAAATCTGCAGCTGCTCAAGTCCCTGACATACGGTGGCGTAGTGTCTGCATACAATCTAAGCACATCCTTCTGCATGCTTTTGTTTTTTTTTTTTGAGTTGGCTCAGCCTGTAATCCCGTGCCTTTGGGAGGCTGAGGTGAGTGGATTGCCTGAGCCCGCGGGTTGCCATTATGTAACTGAGCAAAAGGTAAACAGAGGCAAGGTCCAGAAACAGTTCCTGTAAGCGGGACATGCCTCGGGATGCTTTCCCTGGGTCTCTTAGACAGCTCCTCAAACACTGGAGGAGCAGGAGCTACGTGACTCTGACTCCTCTACGGGATGGCCCTTCTGTCTTTGGCCGTGTCCTTTTCTAGGGAGATGGCAGCTGTTAGACGGTGGAGATCATACATCTCTCGTCATTTCCGCAACAGGGAAATAAACCCGTGGCAGATCGGGAATGACTGGGAAGTACACCAGACTGTTAGATAGTTTTGGGTTGGAGAAATGTTGCTGTCATATATACTCCGGCCTTCTTAAACTTGGCTTTTGGAAAGAGTCTCATGGTTTGCTAACTTGGTTTCAGTTCCACAGAGATCTGCTGGGAGGAAAGTTCCTTTAAACATCCCCGGGACATACTCTGCAGTAAAGAACAAAGCTTTCCTTAGTCTTGGGGACTGGAGAGGATTGTCAAGTGCCAGTAGGTGGGAAAGTGACTTTGATTTTCAGCATGTGGGTTCTGAATCTACAGGAAAGACAGCATTTCATTCTGGAAATCTAAGTTACTTGTTGTCCTTACCTCAATGAGGCAGAAGATTAAAATAAAAATTGTGAAGATGACAGTAACGGATATCGCCACGATTAGTTTTTTATGATAGCCATATCCTGGAACTTCTTTAGTGAGCTAAAAAAAGGAAAGAAAGAAAA